CAGGTGCCAGCGACCTGGAGCGGTTCCTGGCCGCCTTCTGCTCCCAGCGGGACGCCCTGGCCGCGGCGGCGCGGAAGCTGCTCTCCGACGAGCAGGCCCCCGGCAGGCAGAAGCTGCTGGCGGACCTCATCCGCAACCTGAGCGAGAACGCCCTGGCCGAGGAGAAGGAGGACGACAAGAAGTGGTTTGAAGGTGCGGCTGCCGCCCGCGGGAGCGGCGTGGGGCGCCGGGTCTCGCTCGGCTCCCGAGAGCCGCGTCCGTCAATTTTACCGTTCTTAAAGAAGAGTAGTTGACAAATTTGGGAGTCCTTCGGGCTGGTGTGATTTGGTACCCGGCTGGGGGATTAGTTATCACTTACATTGGCGTGCGTTTTTAAGTTTCTTTCGGATATATGCATTTTTACTATCAGAAAATGGTAAAAACCCCAACGTTCCCTATTGCTCTATCCAAGATCGCTCTCTAATACTTTTTTCCCTATTAACACGGTCCTGCATTTACAATCTTTCAGCAACTTGCTAATAGTATATTGATAATTTGCACATATCAGCCAGCTAACCTTTCTTTATGTTTCCTTTATACTTTCTTTGCAAATTCCCCCTCCCGTTCCCAAGTCATTGCTGCAGTTCTTCCTGAACAATTCCCTTTTCTTTTCGCACACTCTTGGTGTTCTGTGTATGCACATTAACGAGAAACATTTAACAACTATAATTCCAGCTACTGCTCTCACAGCAGATGCTCTGCATGGTCCTTTTCAGTGCTAAGAGCAGGGTAGTCTTGAAGCAGTAAAATAAAAATGGGAAAGGAAAAAAATCTGTGCGTACTGAGTTTGTGAAAAGAAAGGAAAAATACCCAGCTAGGCAGAAGCACAGCATTAAAAGTACTCAGTTACAAGACAATCTAATTAACTCCCTTTAGGTCTAGAGTCTCGTTTTAAGAACAAATCAAGCTACATGCGATACAGTTGTGAAAGCAGAATACGAAGCTACATGAAAGAGGTAAAAGTTTCTGTTGAACTAACTTGTATTTTCAAGCTTCTAGTAAAAATAGTTCTGTGACCACATATATATAAAATGCTTTTACGGCGCAATGTATTGTAGAAAAGAGCCCCAGGCTGCTACAGGCATCAAGGAATGACTGTTTTGTTGGTTTTTTTTGTTTTTTCCCCCGCCCTCCCTAGGTTAGTGGTTTTACTTCAAATGTTCATCCTACAGCAAGAGATGAGTATAAAAGGATAATTGACCTGATGTCAGATAAACTGAAATCTGTGAAATACAACGGATGCTACTTTGACAGAAGAGAGGAGGAGGCAGTCCGCCTCTGCACTGCGGAGGGATGGTTCTCTTGTCAGGTAAGTTCAGCCCTTCCTAAAGCAGAGGGCCTTGGTCCCAGCCAGCAGTGGCATGACTTGCAACGACATTAGAGGAAGGAAACGGTTACCTGGATGCTTGCGTAGCGCGGTATCAGGTTTGGCAGGGTGATGTCATAGCGTGCGTCATCTATCTTTGGGTAGTTAGAGCAAGCGGGAGGACCGCGCTGGGGTGACGAGCAGCACGCCTGTCATTGCAGCCGTCTGGTTTTACAGGGGCCTTTCGACAGAGATGACTGCCCGTGTAAGCATTCGATCAACCCCTACAGTAACAGGGAAAGCAGAATCCTCTTCAGTACCTGGAATCTCGATCACATGTATGTACGAAGTATTAATCCAAACTTAGCCGTTTCGTGCCCTTCATCTTAGGTGGGAAAGGTGTAGCCATTGAGTCTTTACCTCGTCCTTCCCCCCGCTGTGCAGTTAGCTCCGCTATGAACACTGCATTGTGACCAAAGATGCTTGGATGCTGCAGCTGCTTCTGGTAACATAAAATCCTGAAGACAGATCATAATGCTGTCTCTCCTTAGCTGCTTTGCTTCTCTTCAGATTTTCTTTGTATGGAAACATACCCCTTCTCACCACGTTATCCTTTGTGAAGAGTCCTCTCTGGCAAAAACCCTCAGACCCATTTTCAGGCATTGTGCACTTGCGAAGCAAACAGGATTGGCTAAACTAATTTCCTCAGGAAAAAAAAATAAATCATAATCCTAGTTATGGTGAAAGAATTCAAATTCTGCCTGGCTCTAAAAGGAAGACGGAGACTTGATTATTATGAAAAAACTTTTGATGGCAATATTGTTTTCTCTTTTGTGTACTAAAGAATAGAGAAGAAACGTGCTGTCGTCCCAGAACTGGCAGAAGCTGTCAAAACACGAGATGGAAGAGAAGTGAACTGGGAATACTTCTATCAGCTGCTGTTTACCGTGGATAATTTAAAACTTGTACATATTGCTTGCCATAAGAAAACCAATCATAATCTCAGCTGTGACAAAACTAAAATTTACAGAAAAAGGAAGCAAAACCATAAGATTTCATAGTGCTCTCTCTGGAAGTGACTTCTGCTTTTTTCAAAATCATGTCATGTGGTATCATTTTTAAATCGCTCTAGTTTCTTAAACAAAAACTTATTTAGGAGTCTCCGGCAAAAGAGACTTGCTAAGTGATTCAACTGCAGTCTCACAAAGCATACATTCATATCGTGCCTAATTCTACTCTCCCGCCTTCTCGCTTACTACAAGCCTTCCTTAGATCGCACTGTGTTCAGTGCGATAAAATACAGCTGTGAGTCAGAGTATAAAAACGGGGCAGAGGCTGACACTGATTGTGCCCTCCAGTCTCTTTCTTGCCATGACAAATGTAGGTCCCAAACTCACAGTACACAGAAAGGAAACTTAGACAAAACATCTCTTAAAAACTTATCTGAGGGGACCTGTAGGTTCGTATTTCTCTGAACATTAAGCCAAACAAAAAATACTTCAGGATAATTATTTTGCTCCGTGCCTTTTCCAGGTAGACAGACAAGCAGTATGCCGAAGGGCGATTCAGGACAGAGCCGCTGGCTCTTCTCTACCAAAATACCTGCGCTCATCCACGACCACTCCATTTGCTGCCGCTTTAGACGTGCATCTCCTAGGAGGAGGAGCAAGGCCGTGGCATATCTTTGCTTCTACCACCTTTGTTCTTTGTCACCTTTCCCATTGATTTCCCTCTTCTTTCAAACAGTTTCTGCCTCTAGCTTGAGTCTGCTTGAAGCAATACAGGCAGTGTTACTGTGTAATAATCATGTTTACCTGCTGCTTTAGAGAATATTGCTTTTGTAAAACACATCCTACCTCAGGTAGCAAAATACAAATGGATCAATTTTTACTTGATTTTTTTTTAAACATCAGCTGATAGCAACTGAACTTTTAGGGATTGTCAGTGTAAACGACGGAATTTTTTTAAATAAAAAAATTACCACCATCTTTCTGTGTGTGTATATGTGGAGGCAGAGGTGCAGGAGTGGTTAATCAGGTCTAATATAGCACGGCCAATACAGCCTAGAAAGACTGAGGGCAGGGAAATGTGTTTATGAATGGAGTGCTAGCTGCTTACAGCTATGTAAATAACATCGCTCATCTCTAGGGAAGAGCTCTGTTTTCCCCGTATCGTTGGTCCTCTTTCTTACCTGGGCAAATCCAGCTAGTCCACACAGAATCGTATTACGATATCATTGCTGTGTGAGCCATAACTTACTAGGTCTTGGAAATGCAGGAGCTTTGCTACAGAGAATATTGATTTACTTTAAACAACAAACTCAATCCTCCTCTGAAACATTTCAATACGAGAAGTAGGTAGGTGCATTTTAAATACAGGATTTCTAATACCAGTGCACTGAACTGATCCTTAGTGAATGCGCGTCATCGGTAACTGAGATGGAAACGCACACCACACTGTTTTGACATTGGGGAAGGCAGCACAGCTAAGGTTCTGATGACAAACATAACGTCATCTGTATGGCACGCTCGCTACGAACTGAAAATCACTATTTTACACAGTGCTGAAACTAAAATGAGTGTCTGTGTGTGAAGACATATTTGCTAGAAAGAGACGGTAGCAAATACGGCTTCTAAGGAAAGCTGGGAGAGCTACTTCAAGATGGAGTTGTGCTGAAAACCATGAATATGCTATTAAAAAATTAGATTTTTCTGCGTTACAGAATGAGAGTGAAAAGGAGCCAAGAAATATCGTTAACAGAAACAATGCATCAGCTGGAGTGGAAATGTGAATAAATTAACATGTCATGCATATACAATTTGTTTGGCTTACAACTTTTGAATGTTTAACAGGCTATAGCTGTAGAAATTAATATTTATTTAAAACATCTGCTGATAACATTTTTGCTATATTTTTAGAAGCATAGAAGAAACTGTTTGTAACAATAAAGATCTGGAAGCTCACTGCATAATCACACTTTCAAAGAAGTATTATCATAAACATTGGGTGAGTGAACAGCGCCTGAAATCATCTGAGGTTGCTCATTATTTTCTAAAAATGCGGGCCAAAATAACAAATTTGGTGGACTGACCCACATCCTTAGCAATCAATACTCATTCATCTACCGAGTCCGACAACTGAGAGATTTTATTCCTCCTTTATCACCACCAGTATATTTGTTTACGAAATTCCTATTCATAACCCTTGCAAGTTAATTGAAAATACTGCATGAGCTGCATTACACAACTATTAAAAAAGGCAACGCTTGCAGCTGGGGTGGTGGAAGAGGGAAGCAGTCAGCTTCACGTGGTGGTTCAGAGAACTGACATGCAATAAAAACGTAGTTGACTTCCCGAGATGGCCACCGCTGAACTCACACTGACACCCACGCATTCAGTTTTGCCAGCAGAACTGCATTTTAGAGGTTTAATTGGTTCTGGTTTAGATGTAAACAATGCAACACAACTCCCACAACAGAGGCCGGTGTCCCCCTTTGTGCTGGGTCGTCAGCTGGATGCCACTAACTGGATGCCACCATGGCAGACGTGGCAGAATTAAAAGAAAAAGGACCTTGTTCTGACATGGTTTTCTTGGCTATTTTTAAAAAAGGAGGGAGACCAAATGTTCACCCTAGATACGGGCTCAAATTTATAAAAAAGCAATACGAACTTCTGTTTTCCCTGTTTTTTCCCTAAATATTAGTGGTAAAATGATAAATTACAATTTATTTCCAAATCACTGAAAATTCAGTCAATCTTTGCCCCAGATAACCGTGGGAGAATGCGGTATCTGCCAATTCCAGAAAAACAAACTCTACCAGTTCTCTCTCTCAGAAAAGGCAAACGCAGACACCTTATGTTAGTGACATAGCCAACCATCATTATGTGGTTGCAAAGAAAAATAAAAAAAGGTTTCATTTGTTTACAGTTTGTTGTTAGACAACATCCTCTTCCTCCTCCTCCTCATCTTCCTTTGCAATGAAATGTAGCTTCCTGAATTCTCGCCTGCTCATCGTTGTGCTTGGGAGTGCAACTGCTGGGAGATCCTTTAAGAAAAAGATAAAATCATTAAGGAAGGTCTGTTGCAGCAAATGGCAGACCTCCTACCTCTCCAACAGTTCGCATACCTCCACATCTGATACACGAGGCACCAACACACACCGCTTCACTTGGAAGCGGTGCATAAACCCATAGCTAAAGCAGAGGAGCTTTCAGGGGAGCTTGCCTGAACCAGTCACGGCTCGTGGCCAAAGGGAGGGCTGGCATTCCTTCTGCAGGCTTGAGAAGGATTCAAAGAGGGCAAAGTGCTCCACAAACGAATCCTCACTGCTCCTGCTAAATACCGATCCTCACGGAACACCTGAAAGAAGGCGGCATCACTCTCCCAAAGTTATACAATGTTAAAGGCAGATCTGGGATTCGAATTTAAAGCTCTGGCCCTTGATCCAAACGCAGAGGTTGCCAGAAATCGGCTTCCATTCCAAAGAATTACAATAATCACATTCAAGAACCAATGATGAGTGAAAAACTATTTTGACAGAATAACACTGTGTCTTTATGAGTAAAAATATCTATCTTATGGAATTGGAATAATAAAATCTAAACAAGAAAGATTTCACATCTGAAATTAACATGCCTTGACAATTAATTTAATCTCTGAGACAAATAATTCTATCTAGGGGACAGGGATATGACTCCAGATGTCCACCAATACTGGTCAAGTTTGCCTACAATCTTGAGGCTAGCCTACTTTTACTTGAAGATGCAAGACTGAACTGAATCTGTAGAGTGAGCAGACTGTCATCATCTTACCTGTATAAACTCAACATCTCCAAAGAACCGGTCCACTGGCATGGGCTGGTTGCTGTCTTCATCCAAGAAAGCACTGCTGTCTAGTTGTATCGGCTGCTTTGGGAGATCTCCCTCCTCCAAGCTAGACCCATCTGAAAGCACACTCTCACAGCTGCTCTCCTCTTCGCTGCCAGCAGGATTGTGCAGATTTTCAGTACTGTCCATTTCTGACAGAGCACTGCTTGATTTCACTGCACTTGGCTTGAGAGAAACATTATGTTTCTTTTCCTGTTTGTCTTCATTAGTCTCTGGAATGCTTTCACCTTTTTTCTGTTGAATTACATTGGGGTCTTCTGAACGTTGATCCTCATCAGGTGTTTCAGGCGTTTCCCCCAATGCAGGAAGGTTTTCACTTCCACATGTAAGTCCTTCTAGTTCTGATTTTTCTAGACTTTTTTTTTCACATTTTAGCCTCTTTGAGGGTCGTCTGTCAGCCGCTTTGCATGAAGAACACTGGAAAAAAAAATAAGATCCTAAAGCTTACTTGAAATAAAGAAAAGTAAAATCATCATATGTCTTTAGTTGCAAGGCTGGATGTGGAACCGAAGGCCTCCATCAGGTGAGCGGCATCTTGAGCCAAAGCTGCATCACTAAGAAAAATAATTAGTAGAAAATGCACTTGGAAAAAAGAAAAGAGGAGCAGATAGCTTACACTAAACCACAACGTACACTCCATCACCAGTGGAAAGCTACTTCTCAAAGCATAAACTAGGACCATACGTGGCTAATCACCATTTTCATATTTTCTTAGGGATGCTGTAGATGGCAATTAATGTAGCAGAACGGACTATCGCCCGGTACGGCGAAGCGTCCCGCCGTCCGCTAGCGGCACAGCGCAGCGGCCTGAACGCTGTTGGGTCTGAAAGCTGGCCCTGCAGCACCCGAACATCCCCCGCACCGTATGTTTGCACACAGGCGGCTAACAAAGCGGCGGGAATGTAGGGAAGGCGAAGAATTTACTTAAATTCTCCAGGTAATTCCCTCATGGTGATGCTCAGTTTGCAGCTGTTAACAATCA